CGTAACTAAACTCTTGCACCGGCGTTGCATCTTTTAATTTCAACTCTGCTCGAAACCCTAATCCTGTCAATATTTCTACTGTTAGAAGTGTTATTGTGCGATTGGCTTCTTCTTCTCCACATCTGTCTTTTCGAGCGTCTAGGGTTAATTTTTGGCAGATCAACTGGCTTCTTCTTCTCCACATCTGTCTTTTCGAGCTTCTATAGTTAATTTTTGGCAGATCAACTGGCTTCTTCTTCTCCACATCTGTCTTTTCGAGCTTCTATAGTTAATTTTTGGCAGATCAACTGGCTTCTTCTTCTCCACATCTGTCTTTTCGAGCTTCTAGGGTTAATTTTTGGTTAGTCATTAGAATTGATCTTCCTCTATTTTCCCGATGTCGTTCATACTGTACTATTTGGATTTATGCCCTTGTGGTTACATCATAGCCGTTGACGTAGGTGAGAGTTTGATTTATCCAAATATTTGTATGTCTCCTTTTATTTTGCTCCTTCTGCTCCTCGATTTTTGTTGATTAACAATTCAAAAAATTCTCATTCTTGATAAAAATTCAAGCTTTTCACACTTTCTCTAAATACCCATTAAGAGTTTCAGAATTTTCAAACTAATTGGGATCAAGACTTATTTGCTTAAAACAGTCTTAAGGCTAAGCAGCGTTTTGAAATGGGTGTTTTCGATTTCGGATGCTTCGTTACAATCTCTTAAGGCTTGAGGAAATTCCTAAAGAGTTTCCATATATGTATAGATCTATACATGATTTAACCGTGGCTTAATTTGAATATAAAGAGTTTACTAAGCTAATGTAGTTTAGAACATATAAAAAGTTTAATATACTTCGCTTTAAGATTAAATACGAGAACATATAAAGAGTAATTGAGAAGATATAAATAATATCTTAGTTAAATGACCCCTGTACATATAAATAACTTAATTAGCTATACAAGCCTAATTAAGTTAATTAGGAGTTGATATTTCATCAGCACTAGTAAATAATATCTATACGCACTTTGATATTAGGGATTACACCTAATATTGTGAAGTACATTTTGTGTACTTTTTAAGCGATGTATTATAATACTTCATACATGGCATACATATAGATATTTTTCGCTTTTATAGAAAAATATGTGGTTATAAAAGGGCATACATCTAATATTATGAAGTACTTGTAAAAGTGATATTTTCTATATTACTATATGAACTTGTAGTTGTACACGTTCTTAGCTGTAACTTGTATATGGTGCCTATACTATAACACGAGAACCCTGAAGCTGAGAGCTACTCGGTGCTCGAGGGCAAAATCTAGCAATGTGACCCGTATCACTACAAGTGTAACAAGCCCTCGGTTGCTGAGACTGCTGGCCCTGGCGACATGAATGACCACCCCGAAAACTCTGAAGCAGCAGTGCACTGATAGGAGCAGGTGGTGCACTGTAGGACTGCTGATCGGGATACTGCATATGGGGAAAGCAATCGAACAGACAAGGCTCTGTAAGAGAAGAGCTAACTGGAGTACGCCTGGAACGACGAACGAGGAGTATGAGAAGAGAGTTTCGAAGGTCAGATCGGGTTGGCTTGGCTGGTAAAGCTTGTGTTCCAGGTCAATAAAGACTACAAACTAGTACTGCTAACAAGAAGCTAACAAAGCGAGGCTGCTAAAGAAGAGCTTGTTCCGGTTCCGGATACGAGAATAAGAAGAACGGAAGTACAAGAGGACAAGAAGGAGAAGAGGCGAGTACAGTTTCACTTCAGTTTCACTTGCTTGCTAACCTCTTTCCCGGTCAGAGATAGGAAAGAATCCAAAGCTTGCAAAATTGCGTTCTTCGTTCCGTCGTCGATCTTCCAATTTCTTTCGATATGCCGCTCCGCCAGCAAGGAGCGAAAGAACCATGTTTTCTATGGTGATGTCAGAATTTGCACCTATTTGTATCTATTTAGTGATCAGTCCGCTAGTTTCTTTGCTCCCACTCGGTCTTCCTTTTCTATTTTCTTCCAATAGTTTGACCTATCCAGAAAAATTGTCGACCTACGAATGTGGTTTCGATCCTTCCGGTGATGCCAGAAGTGGTTTTGATATAAGATTTTATCTTGTTTCCATTTCATTTATTATTCCTGATCCGGAAGTAACCTTTTCCTTTCCTTGGGCGGTACCTCCCAACAAGATTGATCCGTTTGGATCTTGGTCCATGATGGCCTTTTTATTGATTTTGACGATTGGATCTCTCTATGAATGAAAAGGGGGTGCTTCGGATCGGGAGTAACCACTAGTGAGAGGGCAAAAATTGGGGGGAAGGACAAAGAAAAGAGCGATGCCTACATTAAATCAATTGATTCGTCATGGTAGAGAAGAAAAACGGCGCACGGACCGTACTCGAGCTTTGGATCAATGTCCCCACAAGCAAGGAGTATGCCCGTGTGTTTCAACGAGAACACCGAGAAAACCTAATTCAGCTCCACGTAAGATAGCCAAAGTACAGTTGAGCAATCGACATGATATATTTGCTCACATTCCAGGCGAAGGTCATAATTTGCAGGAACATTCTATGGTCTTAATAAGAGGAGGTAGAGTGAAAGAATCGCCAGGTGTGAAATTCCATTGTATTCGAGGAGTCAAGGATTTGCTGGGTATTCCGGATCGAAGAAGAGGCATATCAAAATATGGTGTGGAAAAACCCAAATCGATATGAATGGAAGATGCCTCTAGAACTCGTTTTTCTCGGTAAGGATAGGTACGAAGTCACTCGACTAAAGGAGAGGGAGAGATTCTTTAACCAGAAAGAATTCGGTTCAGATGTAGGATACCTATCCAGAAGTTTTCGCAACTCAATCATAGATGATGGAATCATCAAAGATTTGACCTTTTCGAACAGTCTCTAACTCACTAGAGGCACGGGAAACAAAGAGAAGATGTGTACGAACGAGAGTTGTTGAAACTAGCATATTGGAATATCAATCGGCCAAAATAAGCATGAGCGGCTACGATATTCTAAGTTTCTTCCTCTTGACCGAATCTGTAACCTTTATTAGCAGATTCATTTTCTGTGCTTTCCCTTATCAAACTAGATGTTACCGAGGAAGCATGCATAGCAAACCCCTCCGGTAAAATAAGAACAGCCCCCACGTTCAACCCCTTTTTTTACCATTAGCAAGAACTTCTTTCAGTTGCATATCATAAGGAATTCGAACAACTGCCTCAAATACAGTATCCAGAAGTACCGCTTGTGGAACCTCAATCTCCACGGGCTTATTAGCTAAATGGCAATTGGCACATACAATACACCCAGTCGCTTTTCGGGGATTTTCATGGCCCTGCTGTGCAAAAGTGGGATATGCACTTGCAATGGATGTCCGAGTGTTGATATATATCATGAGCGATACGGAAATAGACCGAGTAATCTCTTTCTTTAGCCAAGAAAAAGCATTTTTAGTTTGCATGATCCAATCATTGATCGCGAAAATTTCTACAACTGGGTAGGTCACTAGTATAGTTCCCTAGCCACGATTCGGCTATTTGCTGGAATAATTGAGGAGATGCTTTATTCTCAAACTACCAGATATAGAATGTAGATGATCAGATGCACCTGAACCAATGACCCAAAACTCAGAGGTTGAAGATTGGGAGACACAAGTCACGCTACTATCTGTTTGAACTACAGAGGCTATTCCTGAAGATGTCTGTTTACATGCTTTGTACTGAAGAAACTCAATATAATCTGGTAAAGAAACTATCTGGATTGGATTCAATGCATTGGATCCAACGGATTGTGAGTCTAAGACTTCTGATACGAATGTCATTATTCCCATGAGGATGAAGATGAAGCTGCTCAAGCAGACATCACTTCGTCGACATCCCTGCTTCACCGAAAACATATTTGCCATTACTTTTGCATATGGAATTTTTACCTTCGTATGCCACATATGAAATCTTATTACCCTCATTGTTTAAGGTTAGATATAATTATATTTAGTATACTAAATTACTATTTATATACCATAATTTAAAATAGGGATATAATTAATGGGGCATTTATATGAGCCATAATTATAGGACCGTATATTCCCACGTTTCTCTTTCCTTTCAGCTCAACCCCCCCCCCCATGGTTTACCTTTTCCCTTCACTCCCTCACGTTTAGCGTCTGTTTTCTTTTTACAGAATAAAAGCCACCCATGTTCTTCATTATTCTCCATTTAAATTCACCAAATATTGAAGTTATCATTCTACAAAAATCGTTCTCATCTTTAGTTGTAGACATGTGATTTTTGGCCCTCCCCGAAATTTCACCCATTTTTAGCGTAAATATTTAGTTAGGTCTAATATAGTTATTTCAACCAATTTTGATTTCTTTTATTTTATTTTATCACAAAAATGAAAAGTACAAAATTATTTTCCTTTATTTTAGCTAATTGGCATTTTATCTAATTACTTTTAGTTTATCCTACTTCTAATGAAACTGAAAAATACTAATATAGTTTTGATATTCTGTTTCCAAAAAAGATAAAATGAAAAGTTTCAAAAATATTTTTTTTCTTTTAACTCAATTTTAGTGATATTTCAGTTAAAGACTTTTAGTAAATATTAAGTAGTATGTAGATATCCTTGATAAAGTTACTTGTTTATCTTCCAAATATTTTTTAATTTAGATAACTAATATCTTTGTCATGCTATTTTAATTTATCTTTAAAAAAAGAAATAAAAAGAGACAAAATGAATGGAGAAGAAAAGGTTGTCGTAATCTATAACTTTAAACAGTTTTGAAAAGTTTAGTTTAGTAAGTATCTTTTTATCTCCATTTTACTTTTGATATTTAGTTTATTCTTTTCTATTATAAAAAAAAAAGCAACAAAGTTAAAAGATCTTTCTAACTAATTGGTCCCTAATTGCTCACGTCAATTTTGGCTACAATGCATAATTCACTCTTTTAACAAATACACAAAGCACTCACATCTTGGCTTTTTTTTGGTTGGTAGGGGGACCACACTTATTTCTTTGGGCCCAAGAATTCATCCACATTAAGAGAGGGAACCCTAGCAACCTAACACCCAGGCACACCTATCATACAACAGGAGGCGAAATCTCCAAAAACCAGAACGATTCTCGCCGCTTCTTCTCATTCTTCCATCAGCGAAATCCATCACCTCACACAAAATGACCCCTAATCTCCTCTCCAACTTCCAGCACCAAAAACCAGCCCCTGCTCGTCTTCGGCTCACGCACACAACCTCAGACTAGCTCCTAACCAAATCAACCGCGACCTCACCTTCTTCACCTTTCAAAATCGCCGGTGAACACCCTCAACGAACCAGCGACCCCTCCTAGTTCCCTCATCTCCCATTAACACACACACACGCACATTATCGGGAAAAAAAACAAAGGTAGGGATCGGAAAAACAGGACAGAATCTGAGAACGAGAAAAATGAAAATAGTTTGAAATTAGTTCTGGGTTTTCAAGTTTCTTTTGGGTTTAAAATCAAGGTTGTTGTTGGAATTTCAGCTCTTTTTTTATGTTTCTGTTGCTGATATTTCGTTTGTTTGGAAGCCGAACTTCATTCTTCTTCTTCAGGCCCTTGTTTGGTGGTCGTTACTTTGTTGTTTGTTGGTTTTAGTTCAATCCGAGGTTGGTTTGAGGTCGTCATTATTCGTCGAGGTTTTGAATTGCGGTTCGTGGTTTCAAATCGAGTCTAACTACCATTTCGAGTTTGGTCGTAGCAGGTGGGTTCATTTGCTCGTGTAATTGCTGAAATTTCTTATCGATATAAACTCCAATTTGCAGGTCCATCTCGTCCCCTCCTATCTGTTATGCGTGTTGTTAATTTTCATGCGTTATGATAGAATTACATGATAACGGCCTAATATTTCTGGTTGGACATTGAAATTGCTTGAATGCATATGGGTTAACATGAATTGTGGGGATAGGGAAAAATCGAGCTCATTAGTGTTTAATTCACACAGTTCTTCATAATTAGAAATTAATTGAAGAAGCATGTGCTGAATTATTCTTTTTAGTTTTATTTTATTTATTTTTATCACTTACCCGCTAGGAGCATGTTTAGGCCGACCACTTGTGTAGGCAAGCCTTAGGATTTTGTTAGCCTTGAGGCGAGAGGCCGTTCCCTTAGTTAAATTTATCCGGGGAATGCCCCGAAGGATTTGTATATATGTTATTCCGGGGAATGCCCCGAAGAACTTTGTAAATATTCTGGAGGCCTTGACGAGCATTGTAAAGAAATCGTAGAATGGGCTAGTTTAGGATTTTTCTTTTCTTCTCTTTACATTTTTATTTATTAGGAGGGGATGACCTCGAGCCTCTCTCTTGTGTTTATTTTCCTTTTTTGTGTTTATTTTACCTCAATTTGAATATTTTAAAAGCCAACTAGATTGAGTACGCAACCGTACTAGTTACGGGACTTGGGGAGTACCTAACACATTCTCTCTGAATCAAATGAACCCCCTTACCTGAACCTCTGGTGCAGACTTAGTTTTAGAGTTCAAAGTGTTTTAAAAGGAAAAATCATTTTTAAAAAGCGGTGACCTGGCACACTGAAATCAAATGTCAGGTGGCGACTCTGAGTTATTTTCCTTTTAAATACAATTTTTGTCACGTTCTAATTGGAAAACCTTTTTCAAGCTTTGCTAAATCTGTTATTAATTTTAAGAGGGTTAGTGAGGTTTATAAAAAGGGGTGTGACATTAGTCAAGTTGAAGTTAAACCATGAAGAACATCAAATCTCCCAAAAAAATACCTAAATATCTACAGTAGGTGATATCCCCTCTTTCGATTTGGGTGTTTTAACACCAAAATCACCACAAAAACAAGTGAAATCTACACATGCAATGGAACCTACTACTCACAGTTTATCTCCTAGACAAATTCGTGCCGAGATGAGAACAAAGCAAATGCACGATTTAGATGCTGGAGGAAGTGCTACAACTGGCGGCAAACAACTCAAAGAAAGAGGAAAGAGGTATGTGTAGATGACGACTTTGTTGAAGATGTCCCTAAAATTCCAACAGTTAAAAAAACCCAAGTTTTCTCCAGCTTCCTCAAAACAAAAAACGAAGAAACAGTCCAAAAAACTCCCAAAATTGATTCGGAATTTTTTTTTGGTGAAGGTAAATATTTATTATTTTCGTTTCCAGTTTTTTAGTTTTGTTTTGGATGTAAAAATTTATGCTTTAAGTGTTTTGGTAAATTGTAGATTAGTTGTTTTAATTTTGTAGATTATTTGTAGTTGTGATTTTCTACAGTTTATAATTGTAGTTATTTTATAGTCGTTTTGTAGTTATATTGTCGTTAGCTTTTAAATTTTGAAACAGAGTTGTAGTTACTTTTTTCTTCCTGCATTTTTGTAGATAATGTTTATATCTGTAGATGTCTTGTAGTGTTTTGTAGTTATATGTGTGGGTAGGCTGTATTTTTTTGAAGAAGATTTGTATGTATTTTTTCTTCATGATTTGTTTTTAGCTATTTGTGTAGTTATATGTACATAATATGTAGATTAATGCTTCATTTTTATACAGTTTACTAATGTGAAATAATTTATCATTTTGTGTAGAATGAACATTATTTTGCCCCACATAATGTGGATTATGGGGTGCTTCGATTCCACACTTTGTGTGATCCTAGCATTCCTAGCTAGATAAAAGAGTTATTGTCTCCAAATGCTTTAAAGTTTTTTAAAAACACTTGTTTTGGTTACTTACTGTCTCTCCCATCCATTTGCATGCAAAACCAAGCTATTCATCTTCTGATGAAGTATGAACTGTCTAAGTCTAATGAATCATTTTTTTCAGTCCACTTGAAGGGGAAAAATTGAATTTTTTATTGAGAGAGTTTGGTTTAATTACCGGTTTAAATTTTGTGAATCAGTTTACAGACTATGGATATACTTCTAGTTATGTTATCAAGTTAATGAATAGCTATTTTCCTAACAAAAAAAGAGTAGAGAAGTGGTATTTGAAAAACATAGTAACAAATAGATCTTGGATAAACGATGAGGATGCAGTCAAGTTGTGCATTCTTTATCTTTTGGAATTTTTTGTTTGCCCTTATGACAAAAACCATGTGTCTTTTATAGACCACTTTAGGTTCTATTTGGTAGAGTCTGGTAAGTTTGAGTCATACCCATGGGGTATTAAATCGTTCAATCAGGTTATGGAATCCGTTAGGCATCGTCTAAATCCCCGTGTACATTATTATCTCATACGGGGATGCTCATTAGCCTTGCAAGTGTGGCTTTATGAGTGTTGCTCGACCGTCAACACGGAGCTTGCTACGAGGTGTTCTGACTCAATACCTCGCATATTAAGATGGTCAGCTACTAAGGGGCATATTTGGTTAACTACCTTTTAAGAGAAGATGATCAAGCCTGAGTGGATTAAGGTATTTTTTCAGTTTTATATGTTGCTACATTTACCTTCATAATATCTACAATTAGTCTACATTTTTTGCCTTAGTGGAACTAACTATTTTTTTCATCATTTAGTTCACAAGCGTGACTGAATCTGGAGAAGAGATTGGATTGCTTACTCTGCCAAACAAGATTGAGTATGAAGATGAACAAGGTGCACAATCATCAGAGGTTCCAAATGTTGTTTTTCCAACATTGGAACCCAAACATACAGATTGTCAAGAGGACAAGGAATCTGTGGCTAGGAAGCTCAGGAAGCTAGAAAAGGGAATTGAGCAGGTAATATTATAACTACAACATATTTACATATTTACTACAATTTATCTATATTTCATAACAATTTATGTAGTATACATTGTAGTTAATTGTAGTATAATTCTATAGTCAGCCTTGTTGGGATTGCACACATTGTAGTATAACTGTAGCAATTTGTAGACAATTGTGAAAACAATACTGCCTCGTACATATTTAAACTGATTTGTAATTTATTTAAATAAAATTACCAACTAACTATATTTTTAACTTTTAGGTTGATGGAAAGTTAGAGGATTTTAGGAAGGTTGTATTTGAGGAACTCCATGACCTTCAAGTGTTTATAGATGATTCTGCGAAAAGTGTTTTGAATTTGATAAACAGGAGATATGATGCGGATGAGGCAAAGGTAAGAGTTGACATATATTTATATACCAAAACAAATTATGACATATGAAACAATATACTCAAACTAACATAAAATCTTTAGCTTGCTGGTAGTTCAACCAAAAACAATGACCGACAATAAGGAGTGAACAACCAGCAATTTCAGTTCAATATTGGTGAGCAAGTGCATGCAAGCACAAGCAACACAGGTATCTACAAAATACCTACAAATATATATACTTAGTATAAAATTTTATAGAGCATAGTCTTATTATTCACATTTTATCTACAACTTCCTACATATATCTATAAATTTCAAGGCAGCATTATCTAGTATTATTTACCTTTTTTTAATTATAAATTGAAGCTGCAGTTTGTCCAGAACATGTTCCAGCACATGTTGACTTATATTCAGAATTTCAAGAAGCAGCTGAGGTAGAACAAGCAGGTATAATATCATACTGTCATTCAGAATAAATAATTGTTATTTATACAATTTTACATTCCTGTTAAGTAAGCTATGTTTTATGTAACAGATATTGAAGATATCAATGCACAGTCCCCAATTCATAGAGTGACTGTAGCAGCTCAGATAGAACAAGTCATTGAGAAATAGCTAAATGAAGGTGAAGATGCACAACATGTGGATGAAGTTGTTTCTGAAGGATCAGGCATTGATAAGAAGGGTGTGACATTGGATGACTTTGAGTTGCCAGACAACTTAACACAATTGGTTAAGTATGGCGAGGCCATACCAGATGAAGCAACCCCTATTCATCCGGGGAGAACCAGGCAACTAGGGAAACATGCACGATCACCTTTCATACCTCTATATAGTTCTGAAGGCAGCAACTATATTGGACCTAAATTTTTCTACCTCAAACACCCCTTCACAACTATTATAGGTGAAAATGTAGATTCTGATGTGTTAGATAAGTTCAACAAGTAGTTATACCACCGTAGTCACAAAGTATATAAGAGGTATGAATGCTTAATTTGACACTTTCATTTCAGCATTTTAAAGTTTAAATATGTAATTAATTCTGTGATTTTTTTTTTATTGGACATTTATTTGTTGTTACGGGAGGAAGGCTCCCTTTTCCATAAAAGATAACCAAATCAAGCCTTGGTTAGACCTTGGAGTTGAAAAGGTGGATAAGAAGCACTGGTTTTATTCCCTTTCTCACCCCGGACAAGTCCTCAATGACTCGGTAAGTATCAAAGAATAAATTCACAAGATATATTTTGTCTTCTGTTTTGTATTATAATTGTAGTTATATTGTGATATAAAATATATGTGACCATGCCTTTTATTATAAATTGTAGATATAATGTAGACATTTCTTATAAATGCTGCTCTTATTATTTATAGTGTGATTGTATTTAGGTTGGACCTTGTGTATCATATTTGATGATGAATATATGTAAAAATTGTATATTTGGTAATTTGGACAGAATTGGTATATCTGTATTTCATGATTGTAGTTAATTTGTAGTTAAATTGTAGAGCAAGTCGAAGACTTATAATATTAATTGTAGTTTGAATGTAGATATTATTGAGACCTTATGGTAGTTGTTGTGTTCCATTTGTTGCTGTGTATAACAGCTAAAGTGTAGCTATTTGTTAGATTATTTGAATTCTGGCGTTGTAGTTTAAAGTGTAGCTGCTTTGTTGATAATTGTAGTTACACTGTAGCTTATAGTAGATTTTATTTTATTTTGCAGCACATTGATGTTATTATATATTACCTGAGAAAAAGAGGCAAATATGGCCCCAACAACAACAACACTAGGTTTACAACAACCGATTTCTTGTTCAAGTCAAAGATTGAACAAATCTATGAGAAGTTCTTAAGTTCTCCGCCAGAAAAAAAGTATTCGATTGTTAAACCTGATGATGATGTTGCAGAATATATTCTTGGGTATAGACTTCTTGCTAATGTTGCCTGGGATGAAGTTGACTATGTCATCATGCCCGTGAACATTGTAGAGAATTTCCATTAGTTGTTGGTCGTTTTCGACATAGCGGACAGACAACTTTATGTGTATGATTCCATGGTCTCTTCACACCATCATAATGCTGTTGAATCTTGTGTTGATAAGCTTTCAATCATTATCCCTCTGTATTTGTCTTGCACTGGTTACGGGAAGCGTAAAGACATTGACTTCAAGACCACAAAGGCATACATTGAGAAACCAGTTACAGACCCTCTCAACATACAGTGGATGGTTGCGGAGATTCCACAACAAAAGGAAGGATCACTGTAAAAAAACTATTCTCTCTTTCTATATGTTTAATTATTATTTTTAATAATCATTTGTTAAATAATTAAATTTTTTTGTCTTATGCAGCGATTGTGGTGTATTTGTGGCTGCTTTTGCGGAGTATGTTAGCCTTGGAGATTTGTCAATCCCTTCAGAAGACCTTTCGGATATCGACCAACACCGTAGACGCTATGGAGCTCTCCGCTATGCTACAAAGAAGCAAGAAGATGAGTCAATCAGTGAAAGTGAGGTTACAGGCAGGCTAGCAAGGAGGAAGGGTGCTCCTGCTTTGAATGAGAAGACTAGAGTCCAGAGAAAGAAGAAATAGTGTCCTGTTTTCCTAGTTTAGTTGATGTCAATTTGTAGTTGAAGGAGAATACACTACTTTATGAACAAAATTTTTATTTTTTTATTGCAGCATACCTTTTTGTTTTGTTATTTTATCTTTCATTATTAGTTGTTCACTTGAATATAAATTGGTTGTTTACAGCATTGTATCTTCATTATATTAAACAAGAGTATTTTGATGTTAGAATACAATTTGCCTACAAATAATCTTCACAATATCTACATTTTGGAAACACTTAATGTAGTTATTATAATTTTGTAGTTGTATATGTTCATAATTTTTACGAAATACTTTCAAGTTCTAGGTAATATCTGTATATAACTGTCAGTTGAAGTTAAATTACACAACAAACAGAAGAAATAAATACTCCAATCCTAGAAATATATTATCCATAATTTATCTACAAATCATCTATAAATTATTACCAAGACTACAATTTAACTACATTTAATCTATATTTTACCTACAATCTGGAAACAATTTACATTAAAAGTTACTTTTTTGATATCAGTTGTATTATAGATAATAAAAATTAAAAATTAATTACACTATAAAGACAAATTTAGATGTCTGACACAATACATAAAATCATATTAAACTCACATAAACAAATTGTAGTCTACTTCATAATGATCTTTAAAAACTTAAACGATTACACAAAAAATCTGCTAACTTTAACTCACTAACAGTTAGTTTGAATAAATATTCTAACTACATGATATTTATTTCTTCTTGGGCGCATTCTTGCAAGATCTTTTGTTATGCCCTTCACCTCCACAATTTCCACATGACACCTTGTATTTCTTTGACTTTATTTCATCATATGTTTTATATCTTTCCTTTTGAGGTCTCCCTGACTGCTTTTTATCTCCCGTCAGTGGATTTACTACCTCATCCAAAATATGTTGTGGCACATTCCATTTGCTTTCATCAGGAAGAGGATTTATTGGTATTTCATACGTATGCAAAAGGCTCTCTCTTGTATAATGCGGAGAGCAATAGTTTTCATATGTTTCATTCTTGTGCCTTAATGCTGCCAAAGCATGCGCACATGGAAGTTCTTCAAGTTGGAATTGGTCACAACTATATTTCTTTTTTTCTAGACACACAATGTACCACTTTACACCATCTAACACAGTATGTATATGATCTGTTGAAGCCCTCACCTACAATTGCAGAACAAACAGAAAAAATATTATCTCAATCATAAAAATAAATTATCTACAACCAATCTACAAATCATCTACAAATATTCTGCACCTTATCTACAACCTACAATTATCTACAATTTGACTACAATTTATCTACCATCTGGAAACACTGCATATTAAGTAATTTATTTTTTCTGCACCAAATAAACAGATCTTACCCTAAGCTTCTCAGATAATGTTCTGTTGTTCTCTAATTCTTTGTTGAATTTGGATCCAAGAAATGTGAAAGTACCTTTCGCTTTCAATAACTTCTCGTTGGTCCAACGTTCTAGCAGTGTCCGTATATACTCTAAAAGGTCAAATATCGGCAGCTCTCTTGCATCTTTTGTTGCAGCGTTCAATGACTCTGCAATATTTAATGTCATTGTCCACGTTCTATTCATTGTTGCATGCACTCTTGACCATTTATGATAGCCAATATCATATAGGTAAGATTTCACACGCGGGTCTACCTCTTCAATCTTCGACATCCTTTCATTAAATTCATCCAGAGTGTATGACCGTGCTGTAGCAAAGTACAATTCATGTAATTGTAGATGACCCTTCTTGAATTTTGACCTTATATTTGTCCAAATATGCCACATGCAAGAGTAGTGTGTCATGCCCGGATAGACAATTGATGTTGCCTTCAGTATACTCTCATTCCTATCTGAAACAACACACATCTAAGGTCTTTCACTATATGCCTGCTTGAATTACTCAAAGAACCACTTCCAAGATGCGTCATTTTCAGAATCAACCACAGTATATGCCAAGGGCAATATTGTACCTACATTATTAATTTATAAAATATTAATTGGCAGCTTTGAAAATGTATATAAAATATAAATACATAACAACTACAATATATCTTCATAATATAGACAATATATCTACATTTCATGTAATAGCTACAAAATAACTACAAAATTACTACAACGTATCTACATTTTATAGACTGCCTACAAAATAACTACAAATGATTTACACTTTTTACCGGCTGCATCCATGGTGCTTGCTGTCAGTATAATCCCCCTATAGGCTGACTTTAAGAATGTCCCATCAACTATTACTACTGGCCTACAATGTTGCCAACCACTTATTGATGTACAAAGAACAACAAATGCGTATAAGAAGCATTCATCTGCTGTCTTTTTCAATTTAACAACCGAACCAGGATAAGTCTCCTCAAGAATATAAAAATATTTGGGTAATTTGCTGTAGGAGTCAGACGGATTCCCTCTCAAAAACTGTAAAACCTTTTCCTTTGCTCTCTATGCTTGCATGTAGCTTAGGTTCACTCCGTGTTCGAATAACATGTCAGTTTGTATGTCCTTTGGTGTGTAAACAATCTTAGGATCACAATACTTTGGAATGATCATGATACCAACTACAACTGCAGTACGTTTGTGCTGTATGGATATTTCATCCATTAAGGAGCATGTGTGTTATCGGTTGAAACTCCTTATCTTGAACATTACTGAATCATTAATTGACGTTGCCTTGAAGTGCCATTTACAGTTTTCACCAACGCATACAAGCCAGTAGCTACAAAAAAATATAATATTTAATACAGATTAATGTAGATGCAACAAAAGGACTGTTTTAACATAAAGTAACATAAACTACAATTTAACTACAATGTAACTACAATTTACTTACAATGTTTAAAAAACACATATCTTGAGTAAAAAACTGCTTTTAATGATCTTTTCACCAAAAATATCTCCATACCTTCTATGACTAGATCTTTTAACTCTGAACTGGAACTTGTGCATCACAGAAAAGTGCTTCATTGCAGCAGCTATAGTTTGCTTGTCCTGATACACTTGTCCTTCTTCAATAGCAATTTGCGTAGATTATGTTATTATTTCACTTTGATATTCCTCTATAGCTGGAGAGGATGGCATATCAAGTAACTTTAGGGATCCAGATGAATCTGCATCAAAATAAAGATAAACAGTGTCATTATAATTTTGTAGAATCTTTGTAGATAATTTGTAGATATAGTGAAAATTTTGTAGTCATTTATTTTAGGATGTCAGACATTGTAGTTAAATTGTACTATAACTGTTGCAATTTGTAGAAATTTATGAAAACAATACTGCTTCGTGCATAATTAAACTGATTTGTATTTTATTTGACTAGATTTTGTTCTAAACATAGATTGTAATTTTATTTGAAGACAACATTTTGAAATCAACAATTTCTAATCATATATTGTAGTTTATTTTGTCATAGAAATCAGAATATTGTAGCTTGCATTCGCATATACCACAATGGCATCAACTACAAAATCTCTAAATCTGTCATAGTTATCCCAATTCCCATTCAATTGCAGCATGATTGCGATTTTGGACATGATTGCGTGTTGTTGCTGATGTATTATTCTAAATTTTTTCGTTTTTTTGGATTTCTAGATTTAGAGAAAAAAATATGAAGAACAGATATACGATCGCCAATTTGATTTCTGGAAACGACGAAGAACAGAATATTCTACAATTTGAATTCAGTTTGTTGAATCTCGAAGATATGTTCTGCAATTGTTGCGAAATCTCCTTTCCGTTTCAAAACTTGAATTTAATGTAGAATCAATCAATCCCAAGATTCTTTCCTGATTTCTCGCGCGTAATTAGGGGAAGATTTTGCCCTATTAATTTCTAATAAAGGAATGGTATAAAAATTGTAGGAAAAATGTGAATTAGGCGGGTAATTTAGATATTATGCACATATTTGGTAATAAAATTTCATATATGGTATAGGAAGGAAAAAATGTCTTTGCAAATTATTACGCTAAATGCCACCCCACAGTTTAGTAAATAAGGGAACTTCTAAACAATTTTCGAGGCCCAAAACAGCTACACATGTTGCGCAAGCACGTGTGGTAGTTGCTGAATCAGTGGCCCCACCTTAATTTACTGCATTTGATGGTAAATAAGTACATTTGCTGTTTTTTTGAAGAAGGGTGTCATACCAACAGGCCCCACACAAATTTATCATTTCAAAAATCCAGCTCTTCGATTTCAATAGATTTGCCAAAGAGTAAAATTGATCAAAATAAATTTCCATTAAAACAAGAGAAAGGAAATGAATTTCCATTCACTGCTTGCGTTTCACCAAGGTCATAGTCAATTATAGATAGGGGTGTACAAAGGAAACCGACAAACCGCATCAACCCGATAATTCGAGTTAAACCGAGAAAAAAAAATTCGATTATAATTTGGTTTGATTTGGTTTGGTGTTGGAAAAAAAAAACTCGACCATGATTGGTTTAGTTTGGTTTTAACTAAAGAAAATTAACCCGAAACCAAACCAATCCGACATTACATATATAGAAATTTTATATATATTTAATATATAAATATACTTATTGTAATGTAATTTATAAATATTTCTTAAAAGTTTTCATAATTTTATCTTTTAAGATATTATTTCAAGGTTGGACTTAGAACTTTTGAATGTTCCAATAAGTTTTATAGTCATTAATATTAGTAACTTAAATAATGCTAACAAAAACGCAAACCAAAATCAAATCAATACTCATGCTAACAAAGACATTCAATTCAATACTATGAACGACAATGTATTGAATATCTATTTTTGTTTTGTAATAATTCAGATAAAAATGCATAATCTATTTTTATTTTTTATTTAGCGTTTAGTCATGTAATTAATAATCCCTTATTAGTCTACTTATTTTTGCATGACTTAATACTTTTAGATTATGCTTATTTTTATTATGCCTTTTTAATTAGCAATATTTATATTACATAATTTTATTGTCTTTATTGTTGAATATTTTAGGATAATGTCATGACACATCTCATATTTTGTATTATTTTCTTGAAAAATACTTTATATAGTTGTATCTTACTAGGATTAAAGAAATATTTTAAGCACAAGTTATATGTTTTGTGCTACGAAGATTTTACCGGAAAAAAAATCTGAAAAAATCCTAATAACCCGAAAACCTGAGAAAATCGAGATTGAAAAACCCGAGTTTTATTGGTTTGGTTTGGTCTTTAGATTTAATAACCCGACACAATTGATTTGGTTTGGTAATTGCAAAATCTGAACCAACACGACCTATGTACACCCCTAATTGTAGACATAGAATAGGTCTGTTACTAATTGGTCATGAAGAAATAAAAACTCCAGTTAAATAAAAGAAATAAATATTCTCTTCATATATTTGTTTAAATATAAATTGAATATCAAAATTGATTTTTTCAACTTTTGAATGTTTTTGTAGGATTAGATTTTATTTTAAATAGAAACTCGATTTTATAATTTCTTTAAAAGACATTAACTCTACATAGTTTATGGAACATCAATCTTGGCTTCCTCCAATAGTTAATTTTACTTGAATTACATTGCATTTGACATTTCATATAATATCTACCCTAATAAATTACAATCTAATCCAAATTGTGGGGCCCATGCGCAAGCACGGCAAACATACTCTAGTCAGTTATATAAGAGGTTTAAATACTTTTTAGAAAAGTGGTGATTGTTATAAAATAAAAACAATGCAGTAAAATGTAAACAAGAAGATATAGAGAGAATGGAGAAGTGTTTTCTTCTTTCACTTTGGTGTAATTTTTCATTGCAATTACATGGCATTTTATAGGCATAAAAAGTAAAGATGATGGACATAAAATAGGAAATTTAATCTTTAAGTTATTCACAATATGGTCATCCAATGTAGCATCCAATGTAGTATCCAATGTAGTATCCAATGTAGTATCGAATGTACAAACTATTCATAACACTCCCCCTTGGATGTCCATGTAAGATAATGTGCCTCACTAAAAACTTACAAAAAAAAAATATTGGGATGTATATAGTTATTTATAATATGCATTGCTTGCTGCCTCATTAAAAACCTTACCAGGAAAACCCAGTGAGACAAAACCTTGGTTAAGGAAAAGAGTGCAGCGTGTTGTTACTTCCCCTGATGAAAAATCACTTAATCTCTCGAAGATGACGCATTCCGATCTTATATATCAGCTTTTTAAATATTGAGGTTGGTAATGCCTTAGTGAACAGATCAGCCAAATTATCACTTGAACGAACTTGTTGTACATCTATTTCACCATTCTTCTGAAGATCATGAGTGAAAAAGAATTTCGGTGAAATGTGTTTTGTTCTATCTCCTTTGATATATCCTCCTTTCAATTGAGCTATGCATGCAGCATTGTCTTCATACAATATTGTTGGAATATTCTCTTTCGAAGAAAGACCACATGTTTGCTGAATGTGTTGAGTTATAGATCTTAACCAAACGCATTCTCGACTTGCTTCGTGAATGGCTATTATCTCTGCATGATTTGAAGAAGTAG